TCCTGCAGATTCTGCAAATGAAACCACGCTTAAATACAAAGAATAAGCCAACAAACAAAACCAATTGCAAGCTTTGCTGAAAGCCCAGAGAACTGGTTTTGAGCACCCACTCTTTAACCATGCTGAAATCATGATTTCTAAGTGTAAGGTGCAAACCTTAAACTAAACCCAGCATTGGTCTAAGACACTGAAGCACTTGAGCAGCTTCACATAGCTCACACCATGTGCTACCTGATTAAATTCTGTAGCTGGTGACACAGGAAAAATAAAGCATATTACAAACTAATGAACAGACATAAAGCCTCACTACCAACCATACTTACAGGCAGATATTGCACCACGGTGCCATTTTGTCTCCCTACAGCCAGTTGTTTTCCCTTTGGGCTCCAGCACACTAAGCAAAACAGAGAATTTCATTAGCTCTAAGGAACTGGAGAGTTACAAGGCCTCACAAAAGCAGGACCAAGAAATTAAAACCACATTTGTTTTCCCCCTGGAAAAAGTCATTAATCTGAATTAAACAGTCACAGAGAATGCAAGACTGCATAGATCAAAACCCAACAGATAATGACTCTTATAACATGTTTCCTTGGAAATGAGTTGAGCCTGAGACAGCACAAACTAAAGGTGGGCACATTGTGACATATTCTCTGAGTCTCAGGGGTTTTAAATCCTTCCTTTTGTGAAGGATTTTTCATTAAGAAACCTCCTCATGAGAAAAACAGCTTGATTCCTTTTACATCTACCAGTCTGCTTCTCCTTTCCAGTATCCGATACTCTGTATGCTATCAGAGGCTGCCACTCACCAGATGTAACAGCTACAGTGAAAGGCAGCGTGGCATACACTTTCACAGAGTCTGTGACCTGCAGGACAGAGATGCTGCCATCAGACAGGCAGATGGCTACCATGGCAGGACTAGCTGGGTTCCACTTCAGGTCATTGACCATCGCTGTGCTTCCCGAGTCCTTGGCCAGTTTGTGATAAGCGAATGCACGTTTCTGCTGTTTTGCCTTTTAGGAAAGAAAAATACATGAGATGGTCAAAGTTGAGCACAAAGTCAAGTTCTCCCAAAGTCATAATTCAAAACTATTTTGATCTTTCTATAAATTAATGACTGATAAAAAAAAATAAGAAGCATATTCTGAGTTTACTGAGCAACTCCTTTACAAGATATATCACAGAGACAGAAAGAAAATCCCACCCACGCTATGCCTCTCCTCTTGCTGTATTCTACAAAACAAAAACAAACCCCAAAACACAACCCACTTTCCATACACTTTACCTGGTTTAAGAATGTGCGGACATCAAAAAAGGCAATGAAGGAACCAATCTCACTGGACATCATACACACAGACAGCGTGAGATTATCACAGCTTAATGCCAGGTGCTGCACTGGAAATTTCATGGGAACTGAAGTACTCTGAACATTCTCCACTTAAAACACAAAAGGAAAGAAAGATAAAATAGAGGGGACAAATTTCAATAGCAAGAAGTCTTCCTGAAAAACAATACCATTAGAATAAGTTCATGCAAAAATCACCAGTCCTAGTAACAGCAGCCATCAAACTTAATGTCTAGAAAAACCAAGTGAAAGCAAACCCTTTGATCTCCACCAACACAGTCTCAAGAGTTCCCAAAAATGAAAATTCCACTTTTCTTCCTAGGTTGGAGGAAAAATAAGTGGACAGATTTTTGGGTTTATTTATGCATGCACATGAATACCTCGGATGGTACAGTTACTAAAGACAATGAAAATCATTTTGCACTTTGGTGTATTTAGAACTTAGGTGGTGGAACAGTGATTGCTTCCTCTCCTAGAGGACAATCATGTAGCTAGCGTGAGAACTCTGCCCCTCCACTCACTCACGTCCCTGATGTGTGCACAAGTTCATGGTTCAAAGACTGGCCACTGAGGCAGCATGTGGCTACAGGGAAAAAGGGAACCTCACTGTACAGCGCTGAGCACAGATGACCAGACCTGAATGACACTTGGACAGGAGTCAGCACGGAGCATCCTGGTGACATGTTCCCAACAACTGCACTTCATCGCAGCTAGAGATAGGGCAAATATTGTTTCTGCCTTCTCACACAAGAAAATGTGGTAATTTCAAGCACACTAAAGAGCATGACAAGGGCTGTATCAGAAGCCAAGAGCTCCGTATCATAGAAAACCATATAAAGCTGTCTGCAAAGACCATGAGACCCAAGTGCATCTTACCAATTTTATTGGGATCCTCTCCCATCTGGTTTTGCATGAGGAGATTTCTAGTGTGAAAGATCTGCAGGCTGGTTCCTCCACCAGCAAAGACCAGCCCATATTTGTTAGACACCGCAAGGAGACTGGAGCGCTCTTTGGGAAGATCGTCAGGAGCATCGAAGATGCGGACCTTCTTCAGTGCTCTGAACTGAAAATCCTGTGGCAAGAGAGTTGGGAAGTAGTTGTACGTATGCTGGTGAAGAGGAATAGTTTACCTGAGTTTCTCTAAGACAGCAAGCTGAAAATCCCCTCCACGAGAGCTGCCAAACCTGCCAAAGCCAAGTCCATACCCACACTGTCACTGGCCATCCCATCCTATTTTCTGCCTTATCTAAGAAAGACAGAACTCACACCACATTTTTCCATTCGCTGAATCTCTCTTCTATCCGCTGCCTATGTTCATAAAACCTGTTGGAGCTGAATACATCTAACTCCTCAAAAACATACCAAAACTAGCCAACAGGTACAGAAGAAAAAGAGAAGGGAACAAAGCAGAAACACACCATGCTTGAACAAAAGCACACATCTGCTTAGATGCATCTTTGCTTGCTAGTGTAATTTTGAACAGACATGCTTATTCCTACCACCCATCCCAGTAACTACTTTGTATAATGTTATTTTCTGCATTTGTTTCTCTCAAAATTTACGCTGCCACTTTGCAAAAGGGAGAAGAGATAAAAACCTCCCAAAACACAAACTGATTTAAGAAACCTCACTATTGTCATGCAAAACCTGAGGATCCCCTTAGCAATGAGCATCTCTTCCCAAGGTGCCAGCTGCCGAACAGAGCACTGGGTCTAACGCCAGTAACTCAAACCAAGCATTTGAGCTGCGTTTCCAGATTACTGCTAAAGCACTGAGGAAGAACATTCCTTCAGCCTGAGGAGGCTGCAGAACTCATAAACTTCCACGAAACAAACAGCCCAACTCCCTTGTTTGTGCAGGTGCCTGAGCAGAAAACAGCTACACAAAGACCCGTGTGGGCTTCAGGAATCCGTACCCCCATGGCCCTGCTCCTATACTCCGGTAAACCCAGCAACGGCAGAGGCCGGCACGACCCTGCAGTTTACACTGTCCCATAGCAGAGAGCCACGTGCGCTGCCTCCCAAAGCAGATTCCCAGCACACGGCGTGCTGACAGCAGCACTCAGCACATCGCTCCCCAGACAAGGCTCCTCCAACCCTCACATTCCACCTCTCACCTCCCCAGCCGTTACCAACACCCTCCCCAACAACGGCCACGCCGGCTCTTCCCCCTTCCACCCCACACCCTACCGAAAAGCGCCCCACAACCCCTCCAGGGCGCTTCAAACGGGGCCGCCATGACCCGAGCCAACACCACGCACCCCTATGTACCCCTCAACCCACCACCCCTCACAGCGCAGGCCGGGCCCTCCCCAAGCCCCCTTCCCCTCACGGCCCACACCAAACCCGCTCCCCACCGCTCACCTTCATCTCCCGCTCGGGGATCACGTCCATGTCGTCCCCCATGGCCCGCGGTCCCCGCCGCTCAGCCACAGCCGGGAATGCCCCGCCGCCGCGCTCACTTCCGCTTCCGGGCGGGCCGCGCTACGCAGCGCTCTCTGTGCTCCGCGGTCCTCCAGCAGGCTCCGCCTCCGCCGCGCTGCGACGCGAGGGTGAACGCGGAGGAGACTCGCTCGTCGGCATGGCGGGGCTTGATAAACGCTGGTTTCCAGTCGCGGAGGCCCAAGGGGACCGACCCCCGAGGGATGGGGGCTGTCGGCATGGCGGGGGCTGCTCCGCCGCGTCACTCAGCCCATAGTGAGGGGTTCCGGTACTCTCTGCGCCGCTGTTGTTGGAGCTCTTAGCACGGGCTGCGGTGGGAGCACCCGGTGCGGTGGTCGGGGGTGGTCCCCGTGCACCTCCGGGGGGAGCTGGAAAGCTGTGAGCGGGTTCAGTTTGTGCTCTAGGAGCCATAGAAGCACTGTGGGCTTTAATAGGGCTTTGCCTTGCTCCCTCCTGCCCCACTCAGTGCCAGCGCATCACCTTGGCATTTAGCCCTATAGAGACAAGGACATGTTTGAAAGGCTGTGCCCAGCTCCATCGGGTTGTGCTGCTCTTCTCCAGCACCACAGAGACACAAGGCAGCAACGGCTTTGGGCATGACCTAAACTGTGGCAAACCGCAACCCGATTTCCCTTGTGGGATGCACTGCCTTTGTTGTCTAACCCAACAACAGCTTTAACACACACAGCCCAATAGAGCAGGTGCGGTCCCAGAGGCTAAGAGGCAGCAGAAAGCAGACACAGGCTCTGATCTAAGGGCAGTGCTGTCCTTTTGAGGAACACGGAGGAAAAGCATACATAGTTATCCCCCCAGGAAGCCTGGTCTCCATTTCGATAGCTCACATCAGACAAGAACCTCAGGCAATTGCTTCAAGAGCAGAGAGGATGAAAAACTAACAACCCAAAACCTCTTTCAAGAGGAGCACTGCAAGTGTCGGCTCTTGATAAACAAGTTATTCCTTCAACAAGCACCACCACCTGCTCCCTTCAGTAAATCAAGAAAAGGCAGCTTTTAGCAGGCAGCCTCTGCATTTCCTAACACAAACTCCACAGCACTCAGTTATTACAGATAAAGATCAGACCAAGACAGCCCAAACCTATCTCTAGGATCTATTTAAGGGTTTATATTAACAGACTTGGAAACCAGCACACTTAATCTGCAACCAATCATACAGACCAAGCTTCAGAGGAGCTAAACTAAATACACTGACACACAGTGTAGCTTCAGAAGATTTATTTTCAGTCCTTAAAGTAGACTGGTGCTGCTTTCGCTCATCATTTTCCTCTCCCGTTACAGATTTGGTTTTCACGCAAACAGTAGCAAGAATGTTGGGTTTTATTTCAAAGTGCAGCCTTTGGCAGGAGCCATTGCCCAGCGGAGTCAATCATCAGCGTTTCCTTTCAAAAATTATTTATTAAACCATGATTTAAAAAAAAAAAGTTAAAAGCTGCCAAGGAAATGTAAGAAAAGAGGAGGGAAAGGGCAAAGAGGAAACATCTGGATTCCAGAAAGCAAGTATAGAGCAAGAATCACTGCAGTAGCCACAGTGTGGGGAGCACAAGCCCAGCTACATCTGGATGCCAGCTCATTGCCCACACTTACACCCATTCTGATTCTGCAGGCTTGAGGGCTTGTCCCTCAAGGAAATGGATCTCATAGTGCAGGGGACCACACTGAAAGACACACAGGGGGGCAGAGCATGTGCATGAGGACAGACCTCACTGCTGCTGCTCTGGTGGGGCTCACAGCTCCATCACCCACCTTCCATTCACCTGAATGGTTTAATTTCCCCTTGGCCTCCCCGAGGGGCTGCAAAGGTGGAACAGCAGGCTTGTTTCTGCACTCGATGGACAGGACAGATAACCCGCTGGGAGGTGATGCTCCTGACTGGATCCAAGCAGAGATTCATCAGGAAGGGAGACCCTCCGGTAGCTTTTACCCTCCTCGCTTGCAGTGGCAAGTGAACCCACTGAGATCTGACTGCAGGATGAACCCAAGGAGTGGGCAGAAGCTGTCCCTGCAGTCAGCCATGCCCATCATCGAGGTGAAAGGCTCTGCAGGCACACCTCTATGTCCATGCACCTTCCACCATTCACCTAGCATCAGATAGGCCACAGAGGTGTGAGCCTGACTTGTGTTTTGGTGAGGTCAGGAGGGGAAGAATGAGTCCAAAGTCAGGAAGTGTAGGACAGAGAAGAGAAGGCACTTAGTTCTTTCCACCCATGAAACTGCTGTCAGAGAGATGCTCAATGTCTGGCTGCAAGGCCAAGGTCAGGACAAGCACAGCTCTGAATCCCTACACTGGGAGGAAAGTAGCTCCTCATCTGAGAAATGCAGGAAGGGCAGAGGAAAGAGGAAGATCACAGGATTATGGGGTTTTTTGGTCTCACATTATACTTGATGCTACAGCTTCTCTCTAACAAATCACGTTGCTAAGGGATGCAGCAGAAAGACACGAACTGGGGGTCTCCAGCTTCCCTTGCTGTTCCTCTAAGGCAGGTTAGTCGAAAACTAGGACTGTCCATAGTAAAGAGTAACAAAGCACAGGTAACCTCTGTTACAGACCAGCAAAGCAAACAGTGCCTGTTGTCCAGCCTGTCCTCTTCAAGGCAGGCTGGCTATGTCTCTTTCCGGAGGCGGACCAGATGGTTTTGGGTTGCCTTCATTGGCTTTTCCTTCAAACATCATCACCCTGCAAAACAGAACAGATAATATGAATATAAAACCAAAACGCTGCTGTATCTTTACCCGTTACTTGGGGTGGGATTATGTTCTCTGCTGAAACATAGCATCTGCCTCCTATGCAAAGGAGGAATCGGCAATTAACAGAGGAGGGAAAGCCAACAGAGGGCAGTGCCGTCAGGCTGGTGGGAGCTTTGCTTTCCCAGCAGCTCCCAGGAGTGGGTTCCTAAAGCCTCTGCTGGTTTTCCTCTCAAAGCCCAGAGGATCTGCACGTTTTAAACAGCCACACTCGACACATACTGCACGCCAAGCACTCCTGATGCGTAAAAGCAAGCACTATCCCTGTACTATCACCTTGTACACAGCAGAACATCCCAAAGCCAACAGCAAGCAAGCAACAGGATAGGAAGAGGGCAGAGACAAAGAGCAAGGCACTGGCTAGAAGAATCCCAAGCATTTTGCAAGCACTCGCACTGTCTTCCTCCCCAAGGACTGCAGCTACGCTGGGAATGCCAGCTGCCACGCTGGATCAAAGGGCTGCACTGCTCCTGCCACGAGTTTTACATTTCTGCTCCTGCTTTAAAGAGTCCAACAGACAATGGGCGTCTGTTCAGCGAGAGAAGGGACCCATCTGTGAAAGCTGCTGAAGCTGGGAGGAAAGATGGGAGATACGAGACAGGCTCAGCCTGCTTTGGTGGGGAAAGGAAGGAAGAGAAGGGGTGCCAGAAGCCTGCGTGTGCTTGGAAGAGGAGCATCCCAACATACAGACACAGTGCACTCGGTGGGGAGAAGAGAGACCCATGGCCAACAGGCATGCACTGGCTTAGAGGGACCACATAAGAGGTGGGCACAAGGTCTTTCCACCCAACCTGCCCTGAAAGCTGCCTTCAGAAAGGGGTGAGGAGGAAGGAGAGGAGCAGCTCCTATTCATGGTGGCTACAGATACAAAAGCAGGGTGTGAAAGGAAAAGCCAGGCTTCAATGGGGTGGAGATGGAGCCAAGCAAGTGTTTGGAAGCCGTTTGTTACAGCAGCACTTTCAGAGCCCTGTCGAGAGGGCAGAGGGGGCCATGGGAGGCTAATGCTGGCAGCCTAGCCTGCAGAAAACCTCTGCCAGCACAAGCCGGCTGTTTCAAGCATGTGTCGCATCTCCATCTATTGCCCATGTCTCCACAATCAGGCAGGGAGGGAGCATCCTGTGGGAAACCGGAGCCAGCCCTTCTGCTGTTGGCAGGACCATCGCTCACCACCCTGCCACCATTCACAGGGAAACCTGTCCCCCCAAAGCCAGTGGGAGCCACAGGGCAGGGACAGGAAGCAGCCCTGCAGTGCTGAGTGCCTGCACGCCCTCGGCAGAGGAGAATGGCTCTGCATGGAGCCTGTGGGAGGAAGCCTGTGCTAACACACAGCAGGCAGCTCTGCTGCAAGTTCTTGCCACTGCTCAGCCTCACCATGAGCTTGCAGAGAGACATGAGGGTGTGCAAACTCCCCCTTCACAAGGCTTCTTGTCTGCCCTCCAGGAGCACCAAGCAAGCACAGCTCCACCTCCACAAGGCAGAACCACCTCTGCTTCCCCGCTCCTCCCAGGGACACTCACAGTTTGAGCACAGCAGAGCGTTTCCCAAGCATCACGTTGACAAAGTCCTGGTAGGAGATGGTCTCGCTGACCCCTCCGGTCACCTCCGAGATCATCTTCTTCAGTTCGAGGTGGGTCTTTGGAGCCCCCAGCTTCTCCATCATTCTTTTGACAGACATCAAGTCTGCAAGAGCAAAGCGATTGGTGCTGTTAAGAGGTGACTACACCAAGCACAGACCAACCCTATGGACATAGGAATGAATTCCCACCTCCCCTGCAGACTCCAAGGCTGACAGCATTAAACTGCTGCTGAAAGCCAAGAGAAGCCTCCCAGTACAGAGCATCAACTTCCTATTTATGCAGCTTAACATGAAAGCACCACAGAGAGGAGGAACAACTCCCCAAGTGCTCCATAGACGCGTGAGGACACTGCTCTCCAGCTCAGAGCATGGTGCCAAGAATCACAATGATGGGGAGGAGGGAAGCAACGCTGGGGTTAAAGCCGGAGACAAACAGGCTGTGGGGAGCAGGTGCCCATCACCACAGGCCATTTCCTTCCATTGCACTGAGAGCTGTGGCCCCTTCCCTCCAGGAAACAGCAGCTCAGCCCTGAGTCAGGCCCCCTCCAGCTCCACACTGGCTCTCCTTCAGCTTGAGGACTGATGGAGGAGGGGAACAAGGCAGCAGCCTCCTGGAAGGGCACAGCATGGGAGCGACTGCACTTCAGCGTCAGCTCCAGGCCAGATCTTTACATAACCGGTGCTTTTTGGGCCCAAACCAGGGCTGCTCAGAGGAGCCAGACTCACGCCCAAGTCCCTGCTTCCCTCCGCTCCCCTCCCAGCAAAGCAAAGAGCTTCTTGGTCTTACACACTTCTGCCTCAAGCCAGGCAAAGCATCCAAGCCCTGCAGCTTCCCAGATCTGGAAATGCTGCGGGTTGAGAGCATGACCTCAGTGGAGAAAAAGGGAGAAGTTAAAAACTTCTAAAGGGCATTTAGATCAGAGAGCGGAAGAGCTAAGCAGAAACTCGGGGTGAGGGCTGAGAAGAGCTGAGATCTTGAAGCAAGTGAGGAGAGACTGATAGGCAGGGGCTGAAGAGCCAAGGAAGCCCCTGGCTGGCAATGAAGATCCAAGCAAGGCTGGACACAGGGAAAAGAACACTGGTTTTCCTCCTCGGCAACACAAGCACAGAAGGAAGCAGTAGATACAACAGGAGGCACCAGCTCAGGGAGCAGTCGCACTTGCAGCCCAGCATCCCTGCGTCACTCACCAATCTCGCCTTGGTTGTTCAGGTCAAACTCCATGTACTTCTCTGGAAGAGACACAGAAGCAAGTTAGCAAGATGCTAGAGCAGGGATGTGCAGGGCTTTGGGGCGCTGCCTGCTTAGAGAGTGGAATAAAAGGTTTGGGGTAAGACTGATACAATTTCAGAGAGTGAGACCATCTCCAGACGTGGTTTTATCACACCTCTCAATTCCAGAGCTCTAGAGTTAAGTGCTCTTTAATTGTGGCTGCTCTTCATTTGCGCTGAAGGAAAACACTGGCATGAGAACAAGGTATCAGCTAGCCACGAACAGCATTAGAAGGCTGCCAGCAAGAAAAACAAAGCTCTGGAACAGGCTCCCAGAAGGAGTAGCAAGGAAAACAACACCCTGAGCACTCTCAAGAAGAATCTTGATCGGATTAGGAGGGAGATTAAATGACACAGCTGCCTGCAATAGCAAGGGTCAGACTCTACAGTCCTCCCAAGGCTGTGCTGCGCTCCCAGAGCAGCACCTTACAGGAGGGATGCTCAAGGACCACATCAAGAGGGCAAAGCCAAGAGCGCACCTAGGAGCAGTTAGGCTGGAGCAGGTTGTTTGCCCTTCCAGCCTTCTGTCAAACAATTGCCAAACAGGCAACTCCAGCATCCTCAGAGAAAGGCAGAGCCTGCTCAGGAAGGTCTGGTTTAGCCTTGCAGCACAAAAGTCAGAGCACAAAAATCCTGGTTTTTTCAACTCAAATCCATCCTGTGCTGGTTCTGACCTTTGGAGTGGCACACCTGCACTTCCTACCTCCCCTCTCTATGCTAGCTGCTCCTCATTTAGACTTTAAGCTCTTCAGGCAAGGATTTGCCTGCCTTATAGCTCCCAGCGCCGCAGGGGGCCCCCCATCATCTCGCTTCTGCTAAATGAGAGGAGCAAGCTGCCTGCTGCCAGCACCCATCCACGCTGAGCTGCAGAGATGGCTGCCCTGCAGTTAGCACTCCCCACAACAGCCTCAGAGGGCTCAAATTAAGCAAGACCTTCCCAGCTGCTCCTTCCCCCCAAGGGAAAAGGACTTTTTGCCTCTGCTCCAGGGGCACCAGCAAGCAGATGAGCGTGAACAGGGAAGTGGCAGGGTGATTTAAGGGGCTAAAGGCAAGAGTGGGCATTTCACACATCAGAGCCTTCCTGTGACCTGTGTTTCTGAAGGGAAAGTGCTGGGTTAACTGGAGTGATGGGCAGCTACAGGCAGGAAGCAGAGGAATGGCTTGGCATGTCTTCATCTGGATCTTAACTGCGGGATTACTGCTGTCATGAGCTGACCAGGACAGACCCTACAGGAATACCACATACAAAACTAAGCTGTCTATGCTTCAGGCAGGGATAAAGGTCTCCCTTCAATAACAGAGCAACCAATCCTAGGCGAAATTGGGGCAGTCACACACATGCTTCGGGGGCCAAAGCAATGCTTGCTGTGCAACTGGCTCTCCCCACACTCTGCCCTGCCGCACCATAGTGACCTTGTGTACATGCACTGCCACCTCCCTGGGTAGGGGTCAGGCACCCCAGCGTGTGCTGGGGACACAAACCCTGCTCTGCCATGTCTGACACTCAGCCAAAAGCAGAGAGAACAGAGAGGCAGCTTCCCATCATTGTGCTCCGAGCTGTGGCTCACATCTTTCCCTCCCACCCCAGATGCGGGGATTGAGTGAGATAAAACCCCGCACAAATGCCTTTACAGAGCAGTGTACGGGGGCTCCCCGGGCCCGGCTGGGGAGGACAGAGGGGAAGAAACATCCCCCCCCCATCATCACACAATGAGCTGATTGTTGGGAGAGCCGGAGGAGGCATTGGAGAGCGGGACAGGCCACGGAGGCAAGCTCATGAGGCAGTGGGGGGAGATGCCAAAGGCTCTCATTACAGGGGATTCTGCGCCTCTGACCTACAGTTGCAATGTTTGAAGAGCCCCGATTGTGATGGGAAAAATAATGCAGGGCTGCAGCCAAAAGCCAAAGCCACACAAAAGGCAACAGAGAAAGAACAGGGAGCATAGGAGGCTCCTCTGTGCCCAGCGGAGTAAGGGATCTCAAAACCCCAGCCGGCTCCTTCCATGCTGGATTGCAAAGCCAAAACTCAAAGGGATACAACAAACAATGCCTGCAGTGGAAGCAAGGTCAGGTTCTGTTTGGTTAGAGCCAGGTTGAGGACAAGCCTTAAGGGCAGTGTGACGCAGAAGGCATGTTTCCTCAACTGCCTTCAGCCACTGCTTGGAAAGAAAGTGGATGCACCCAGAACAGCCCTGCCAATTCCTGCCCTGTAACCACTCTGGGGACCAGTTCCAGATGATCCCAAGTTTTCAAGCTGTTTCTCTATCCCAGCAAATGGCCAGAACCTAAGCCCCAGATGTGCTGACCCCCTGTAGGTAGGCTTTGGCCAGGATTAGACACGTCACTGCCGTTTCCGTGTGTACCGGGGGGATCAGGAAGGTCTAAATCAAACTGAAGAAACTGGGGGAGAGGAAGTCTCCAGCTCCTTCAGGAAGCAGCTGAGACCTTTTCCTCTGTGGAAAGAAGTCCTCCTACTCACTGAGAAGATGGACTGCATCATCCATTATACCAGCTAGCTTGTGTAGGTAACCAGGCAGAAACCACCCTCCTTTGCTGCTCCCTGGGGTTTTGCCCACGCAGCAGGTTCTGCAGTAGCAGCAGCCGCCAGGCACGATGTCTGCAGGGTGACATGTCCCTGCCCTGCAAGTCAGGGAAGCAAAGAGGCTCCTGTGGGAAAAAACACCTCTCCAGGGAGTTTCACTGCATCCCACAAGCAAGGGGGAGGCGTCCATGCCAGCTCAGTCACTTGGATTTGGCAGAGAACCTCAGGCTGGTAAGATCCAAACACAGAGGAAAGTAGTCTGTTCAGAGCAAACGGGCTGAAAGGACAAGGAAAGCCTCCAGTTCTCACCTTTGAACGCTGCCAACTTCTCCTCCAGATCTTCTTCATCGCTGAACTTTGGGTCACAGAGAAATTCCTGAAACAGTATAATATCCCCAAGGTTAGGGATGCAGAGGAAAACGTACAAATGCAGCATCACCCATAAGACCTATGCAGTTCCCAGAGAGCCACATCTGGGCAGCTGTGCCAGGAAGCTTGCAAATGGCTTGAATCCCTCCACACCTTCTCGTTAACGTTCCAGTGCAAGGGGAATGCCTCTGGTGTCTCAGATTCCCCACCAACTGCACTGGACCCCATGTGCCTTTGGAATAAAGGCATGAACTCCTTTTTTGTTTGCTCAGCCAAGGTTTCAGCTCCCCACTTCCCTGCTTAAGCATGCACAGCACAGGGATCAGGCCCCTATTCCCAGCAAGGACTCCTAGTCCTTGCAACAAGCACTCTGATCTCTGATTTCAGAGCTGTTGGGTAAACTCTGAGGGCTAGCAAATAGAACTGGCAGCGTGTGCAGAACACCACGCACCCAAGAGAGGACCTGTATTGTGGGGTAAGGAACAGGCTCTCACTGTAGAGGAAATCCTGGGTCACTTCTGGTTGCTCATCCCCAGACCCACCTCAGAACCCTTCAGGTACCCGAAGGAACAGACCACAGCTTGCCCAGCCAGCTCCACCACCATGCCCTGCCATCAACACCGCTATGTGAGCAGCAGGGTCTTGCTCCTGCCTCTCCCCTCCCACACCACCCAGCTCCAGCACAGCTCAATGACTGGTGTGTGCTCAGCAGCAACACCGCATTCTTCAGTGCAGAAATCATTGACATCTGCACAGCTTGAGCATGGCTTGTCCAGGATAAAACCCCTCCAGGGGTTAGAGTGGAGAGAGGGCTGAGGCTGTTCCCTCCTCTGGGCATGTGTTCCTCACCACTGCTCTCCATTCTCACAAGGCAGGCAGGAATGGGTCACTGGTAGTGGAGCAGCACCACTTGTGATTAATGAAACCACCACCCTAAAGCAGGCTCCAGGGCATCAGGAGTGCATAAGTCCACACAGGCATCAGTAACCACATGCCCTGCAAAGCACATTCCCTTTTCTTCCAGGAGGAGCTATTCCCACATGCAATGTGCTGAGCCAGCTCCAGCCACACTGCAGACCCAAGCTGATGCCTGGTTCCTGCTGCCACATCCTGCCCCAAGTCTTTCACACTTGCTCACTGCCTGACACCCCAACTCTACAGCACATCTCTAGACCCCTCCAGCCCACACTTGCTCCCTCATTCCTTGCTGGGACAGCCTGGATCTACCCAGGGGATCCAGATGCCTTTACAACCAGTTTACCACTGCTTTTGCAAGTTTTTTTACCTGCAGCTGAGCTAAGATCTTATAGGAAGTCCCCTAGGACAGAAGTGACTGCCATCCCCTCCTCCCAACCATGCCCACTAAACCAGTGTGGCACAGACTTCCCTTTTCACCATGGACACCAGTTCAAATGGAGAACTGTGGTGGAAAGCAAAGCTCCCAGTTCCCTCTTTCACTCTCCTGTGTCAACTCAATTTCATTTATCTGTTATTTTCTACCCAGGGGTATCATTTGCCAGCCCAACACAAAAGGCCCGATTCAGCTTCAAGACCTGGGCTCAGCCGGCAAAAGAAGTCACTGGAGAGCAGAGTAGTGTTACCCACTGCTATTGCCACTGAATAGGCTCTGTATTAGGAACTTGAAAACATCACTGAGAACCTAAACAGGGCTAGAGCATCTGCTGGGCATCAGGTCAGAGCTTCATTCCTGCCCTGCAGGAGCAGCAAACAGCTTCCCCCTACCAGCAGGATGGGATGGGAGCGCAAAACCCTGCATTTCCATGGGAGCAAGGAGCAGCACAGCAAAGTCTGAAGGGAATGCTACATCTGCACACAGAGGGTAGAGGGACCAACAGCCCCATAGTACCAGAGCAGGATGGGTGACACCGTGCACACACCCAGGACCCAGTGCCCTTGCACTTCAACTGGAAGGAACTGGGCAGCCCACCTGTGTCACAGCTCTGCTCTAGAGCAAAGGAAACAACAGGGGAGCGTATTTCAAAGGCAGTCCTCCCTCCACATTGTATGCAAGCCGGGCTGTGACTGCGATAAGGCAAACTGCTCACAATAGCACACAGGAATTCAGTCCCCAGGGCCAGTGACTCAGACTCGGCCCAAAGTGGCCAAAGTTCCTCCTAGAGCCCTTTGCAAAAGCTCCCATTTTAAGGGGCATGTTCTATTAATAAGAACTGCTTAATAAGCCTCAGCCTTTCCTGGGGCACAGAGACTTCTCTAAGCCAATAAATTCAGCCACGCAAGTCCCAGCTACCTGCAAGACAACCTGAGCCAAGCCAGATCCTTCATTGCTCCCCAAAAAGGTGGCTCCAAGCATCATGCCAAGCACTCACTGGGCTCTTTGTGCTTGATGCCAGCCTCCCTGCCTGCTGGGGCTGGGAAGGGGCTGAGGGATGCTCATGCCTGCCAGGTACCTGCTCCCCATCAGGATGAACTCTTTCCCCGCAGCCCAGCGTATTAGAAGGTAAAACTAGGTTGGAACTAATCTGTGCTGGATTAAACTTGCCACCTTGATGCACAAGGCCAACCGATGTGATTGCTGTTCCCCAGGAAGAGGGGAATGGCCAAGAGGGAATCCCAGAGGAGTGCTTTGGGCTGGAAAAGAGAATTCAATACCAGGACTCAGCTGTCCTTCAGCAGCACGTGTGCACTCTGAATGATGCCTGCCAAAGGCCCTTATCCCAACGAGAGCTCTGGGGTAGAAACCAGCCAGGAAAACAAGGGCTGGGAGGGAGTCAAGTGTTAGGATGAGACAATGAGATTAAGCCTGATAGGAATTTGGCCTGATAGGTGTTATTAGCAGCACTTTACTGGTTTGCAGCCCTGGGGCTCTTGAGGGATTGGGAAACCCCTTCCCTGGTTCCAGCCACATATCAGCCCAGGTTTAAGTGCCAGTTCTGTGTCCAAGGGAGGTGCGAGCTGCTTTGCATCCCGCTCACAGCAGACTCCCCACACAGAGCTGGCAGAGCACATCAGCATCAGGGTTGCTGCCCATAGCCACTACAGCACAAACAGCTTCTCAGGGTCTATAGGCAGCTGCTATCTGCAGCTTGATTTCTAGCTGCTCAAATCCCTGCTCCTAGCACTGAGCCAACACACAGGGCAGCAAGGACACAGAAAGCAGCTCCCAGCTCCGTCAGTGGGAAGTTATGTAGCTTGTTTCATTTTTGTGATCCAAACCTCTCCCAGAGAGAAAGCCTGCCAGAAGTGATGGGAAAAGAGAGGAGCCTGCTCCCTATGTGGAAGGGAGAGCCCCCAGCCCTGGGGCACAGCAGTGGCACATCAGCAGTGGCACATCAGCAGTGGCACATCAGCAGTGGCACATCAGCAGTGGCACATCAGCAGTGGCACATCAGCAGTGGCCTGGGGTTTCCCAAACTCAGTCCTTGTGCTCCTGCCAGCTGAAGGAGCATGTACTTACCCTGCATCCAAGCAATGCTGGTTGGTGGCTCTGGAGCAGCAGAGGCTGCAGCAATAGGTACAGCATGCCCCCTTCCTCCCCAACCCAAGGGGTCAACCCCACCTTGGCCGTGGGGGATGCATCAGACCCACCTATGCACCCCCTTGGCACAGGGTTTCGTGCCTGCCTTCCCACAGCAAGGTTCAAAGGCTGCTTTTTAGCCAAGTGCTCTCATTCTACACTTCACACTGCAGCACTTTCCCCACTTGTATTCCTCAGCACCTCCTGGTTTCTATTGACGCAATTCCCCCTCCAGTGACCTACATAAACTTCACCTCCTCTGTCTCACCCCTGCCTGGAGGAACACACTGGCACTTTTCACAGCCCACTCAACACAAGGGCAAGGCAAGCCCACTGCCTCTTCCAGGCTCTCATCTTAAGCAGTGCTCTGATTTTTCCACCTGTAACACTGGCTGCATCAGCTATATCCCTGATTTCCACCTGAAAATGACCCCGGAAATGACATTGCTGATTGTTTCAAGGTTAAAACCTACTTTTCACCCTCAGAACTGCACTTGGCCAGGGGGGATGCTAACAGACCTGCCCTCGCTGGCTATGCCAAGGGATGAGGCAAGCCGAAAGCTTGAGGAGAGGACCTTGCTTAACCCCAGCATGAAGGGCATGCAGCCCAGTGTACTTTGCACTAATCCAGGAGCTGCCTTTCCCCCTGCCCAAGGTTTGTGGGACATCCAACCACCCTGTGCTCCCCATTCACCCACTGCAACTGAAAACTAGAGGGGCTTCAGTCTGCTCTTTTTGAACAGCAGAACCTCTTGATCTGGGAGAAGAAATCAGAGCACAAAGGGGACATCGAAGCCCACCGGGAGGGCAACAGCTCCTATTCTTGCTGCAGCATGTTCCCGAAGGGCATCCCAACATGATGGGTGGAGAAGCTGAAGAGGAACCCCACCCCAAAGAGCCACCATTGCCCTTATCCAGCCCAAATTCCCTCCGTGGGACCCATTTCCACCTGCCCCTTCCTCCCTCCCGTCCCCACCGGGTTCGGGATCACCGCATCCCCGCTCCCTCCCGCAGTGTTCAGGTCTAACCCCCCCACCCCACCTTATTGATCTCCTCCAGCCGCCCGTCCTGCGGCGCCCGCCGCAGCCCCCCGCCGCTCGGTCGGCGCGGAGCCGCCATCTCTCGGAGCCGCCCCTCGACGGCCACCGCCTTAAATAGGGGCGGGTAGGACCGGCCCCTCTCTCGGGTCGTTAACCCCTTCCCTGCTCCATGGGGAGGGTTTGAATGGAGAACGACGCGGCGGGGAAGCGGGACCTCGGTCGCTGGAGGCTGCCGGCACAGGGACCACGTTTCTAAGATGCTGTTTGGGAGCAGTTCGGGGCTGTAATAAAGCACAAGAGGAGCTCCGGTGCAGAAACAGCAGGGAAAAAGCATCTGCATGAGCAAGGGATGTGTGTCCTGGCATAGAATGGCTTGGGTTGGAAAGGACCCTAAGATCATACAGTCCCAACTGTCACGGGCAGGGACACCTTCCACTAGAGCAGGTTGCTCCAAGCCCCTGTGTCCAACCTGGCCTTGAGCACTGCAAGGATGGGTCATTCATAACCTTGAGCAGCTTGTTGTGGAGGTTGTGTTCTCCACTAGGCATTTCTCTTAGAAATAGCTATATTAAAGTGGGGTTTAGTAGGCATTGTCAGGCAGTTGGCCCACATCCCCATGGACCCATCACCATGGACCCAGCTGTGTTTCAACCCTGGGTGCAGCTACCTCTGCTCCTAGAGAAGGCAGCAAGCACATCTCCCCCTCCTGCTGTTGTTTGCTTGGTCAGATGCATAGCTATGTCTTATCTTATATTAAGACATTTTAATGGCTACAGCTCTAGGCAGGTGTCACCAGCTAAAACAGAGTTCCAAGGAGACCAGAAAGGGAGGATGAACCACGTTTTGGCAGCAGGCACAAGGCAAAGGCTTGGCATTTCTGTAACAGCAGCAAATCCATGTGGGGATTGGAGATGTGCAATTGTTAGCCCAAGGGAGATGGTACGTGGCTGTGGCTCCCTGCTTCTCACCCAGGCTGAACCACAGTGTGCTCATGCTGCTGTGTGGTTGTGCCTTGCAGAGCTGCTCTTGGGCAGCAAGCAGGGAGCCCCTGCAATGCTGCAGGTCTGGCAGCCCAGTCCTTGGGCAGAATTAGGAGGGAGATGACAGGTTTGTTCCTGGTAGGAAAATCCCATGTCCCTTCCACTGGACCCACCAGGGATGGCACTGGGGGTTTCAGTGTCTGTGGCAGCACATACACATCTAGCACTACAAAAAGAGTTGAGCAAACCTGATTTCCAGCACTGTGAAGCAAAGAAAACAGGTAAAACAGGTTAAAAAGAGAAGTGGGCTCCAGCCTGGGGACTCGTTTCTGGTCTGATGGGAGTGACTTCAACTGCTATTCGGAGTCAGGATGCAGCCAGCACAGGGTGGGCTGAGCAAGGGCCGGGCCCAGCCGCATGGGAGTGCAGGGTGGACACACGCACATGCCTTTCCTTTAAAGGAGACACAGCCACCGACCTCTGACATCCTGTGGGAGTGACACTGGCAGGAGCTGGCCGTGTCCTGCTGCTCTCCATTGCGCTGCCTGGTGCCACAGCGGCTCCTCTGCAGCGGGGAGGGTGTTCGGGTGCTGATACGGGGCTGCAAGCATCAGCTCTGCCCCCTCCTGCCCAGTGCATTGCTCTGCCACCCGCCAGCAGCTGGGCTGCTTCATAGCCAGAGCTGGTGGCATCCACCGAGCCAAGCAGAGCCGGGATAGGACAGCTGGGACTGCCTGGCTTCACCAGGATTCATCTTTGCACCTCTGTGACCACAGCACATGAGCATTGCACTGCAGGATGCTGTGCAGCAGGGCCAGCTTCCAGCGTGGGCTCAACAGCCTCTCTCTTATCCCCTGGGGCAGGAGGGGCTGCAGCTTTGGTATGTTACATACTTGATAAGCAGTCCCTCCCTGGTGGTGGGACAGATGGAAGGATGTGTCTAGCATGGAGGTCGGTGGCAGTTCTTTGTTCACTCCATGGTGAGAGATCAACTCTGTGATGTTCCATGACCACGTTCCTCCATATCCTACAGGAATATGGGTGGTCACTGGTAGCTGGTTGCCCCCATGCCCTGAGGACAGCCAGTGGCCAAAGTCACACCACAGAGCACATGGGATGCTGAGCCTGAACCAGTGCAAATAAGGACCAGGGCTGTGATACTGTATAGAGAGCAGTGTGGGGATCGATGCTGGTGAGCACAGGGTGTCCTTCGCTCTGCAGGGGAGCACGGATGTGATGGAGCAGCCGCCATGGACCTGTCACTGTCACTGCCACTGCGAGCAGCCCTCGGGGAGGCTCCGCAGGATGTCCTCCAGGTTCTGCTTGTCAGCCCGGATCTCAGCCAGGTCGCTCTCCACCGCCTGGATCTTCTCCTGCTGCCGTGCAGCCTCCTGCTGCAGCAGGCTGAGCTGCCCAGCCAGGGCGCCCGGTGCGGCCACACGCAGCCGCAGCTGCTGCAGCTGCAGCCACCCGGCGCTCAGCACCGCGTCCACCGGCACAGCCAGCTCCAGGTTACCTGGGCAAAGGGAGAGGACAGGGGTGAGAGGAAAAGAGCTGGGAACAGAGGTTCTGGACAAGCTCCAGACCCTCAGCACCAGGCACACTATAGGGAGCGGGTGCAGCGGGGCATGGAGGCAGTGCAGCTTCCCAGGGATCGCAGGTAAGCAAACAGGGCTGTGGCTGCAGGCAGGGCTGGGGCACATCTCTCTTACAGATGGGTGATGATTTCCACCCCTTTACAAAAGTGCTCAGATGCACAAGTGCTGGAGCACTCAGAAATACACCCAGATGATCAAAGCAGGAGGAGATGGAGCAAACCCAACCAGCAACAAAGGAATGAACCTATCCCTCGGCTCCAAAGGGAGCCCTGCTCCTCCTGGAGATGCCAAGGGAAATGATTGTCCCCACACCATGCATGAGCACACACATTCAGCAAGCTCCAATCCATTCTGCAAGAGGACTTTCCTTGAGATATGAGCCCTCAAGAAGCTTTGCTAAGACCCTGAGCAAAGGCACCCAGCTCAGCCTGGATGCCAGAGCCTCAAACCCCAACAGGGTGTCCCTTCTGCAGGGCCCTGTCTCACCTAGGCTCTGCAGCAGGTCGTTCAGGGTCTCGATGTCTGCAGTGAGTGAGCCCCGGGCTTCCTGGAGACTTTTTGCCATGTCATTCACCTCTGTCCCCACCTTCCAACACAGACAGAAACCCAGATCAGGGACACCGCTGCCCCTGGGCTGGACAGGAGCAGGGAGGGAATCATAGAATCATAGAATGGTTTGGGTTGGAAAGGACCTTAAGATCATCCAGTTCCACCCCCCCTACCATGGGCAGGGACACCTCACACTAAACCATCTCACCCAAGGCCTCGTCCAACCTGGCCTTGAACACTGCCAGGGATGGAGCATTCACAACCTCCCTGGGCAACCCATTCCAGTGCCTCAGCACCCTAACAGGAAAGAATTTCCTCCTTATATCCAATCTGAACTTCCCCTGTTTAAGTTTTAACCCATTACCCCTTGTCCTGTCACTACAGTTCCTAATGAAGAGTCCCTCCCCAGCATCCCTAATAGGCCCCCTTCAGATACTGGAAGGCTGCTATGAGGTCTCCATGCAGTTTCTCTTCTCCAGGCTGAACAGCCCCAACTTTCTCAGCCTGTATTCATACAGGAGGTGCTCCAGCCCCTGATCATCCTCGTGGCCTCCTCTGGACTTGTTCCAACAGTTCCATGTCCTCTTTATGTTGAGGACACCAGAACTGCACACAATGCTCCAGGTGAGGTCTCACAAGAGCAGAGCAGTGGGGCAGGATCACCTCCTTCGACCTGCTGGTCACGCTCCTTTTGATGCAGCCCAGGATACGGTTGCTTTCTGGGCTGCAAACACACACTGAAGCCAGCTCATGTTCATTTTCTCATCGACCAGCACCCCCAAGTCCTCCTCAGGAGCATCCCCAAGGCAATCCCCATACAGTGGAGCCCGAGCTCCCAGGTTGTTCCCTATGCTTTCCCCTGTGGGCAAATCCCCTTCCAGGCTCTATGGAGGACAGCCTGCCTGAGGGTGCCCAGCTCACCTGATGTGCATCCTCCAGGTCCCTCCTGAGCTTCTCAGCCACATGCTCCTGCCGGGAGAGCTCCCGCTGGGTCTCATTGGCACGCACAGCAAGCTGGCTGGAGTGCTTGCAGGCACGCTTGCTCTCCTGCAGCACAGCCTGTGCTCTCTGCAAAGGGATGGAGATGGGGACAGTCACATCGGGACATGCAGGGGAACCATGGCTGACTCCTAGGCTGGAGCCCTGCTCGGGTGCATCCCCCTGGTCTGCAATGCAGACAAGGATGGGCTGTGCTGGATGGGCAGCAGGAGCTGTATTGGGGAGCCCGGTAGCAGGATGGGCTCTGCCAGCCATGTCCTGCAGCCTCATGTGGGCTTCCTGCACCCCGCATCCCTCTGCTCAGACCTTGGCGCTCTCCCCAGCGACTCGCTCAGCCTCCCCGGCTGTCCTCTGGGCTGCAGTGGAGATGGATAAGGAGGTTCCCAGTGTCTTCTCTGCCTGTTTAATCTTCCTCTGGGCCTCCACCACCGTCCTATCCCGCACAAGCGCCATCCTCCTGTGCAGGGCAGCCTGGCCCTTCCGATGCCCCAGCACCTTCCTCATGCCTGCGGGGACAACCCGGCCATCACCAAACTGCCCCTTTCTCCCCTTGGAGCCCAGAGCCAGCGTGATGAGAGCCGAGCTGTGGCCAGAGGTGCTCTGGCTGGTGTCTTTTACCTTCCACGCTGGCCAAGAGGGACTCTGCATCGGAGAGCACAGCTTTCCCATGGGAGATGGCCAATGTGGCTGTGCCATGGGCAGAGCCAGCCTGGTCCTGCAGCTGGGGAGAGGAGAGAAGGAGTGAGGCTGGGGAGGGGGCAAGGAGCTGCACCCAGCTGGGAAACGTGGATCCCTGATTGTGCTTAGCAGGTGAGCTCCTTGGGAGATCTGGATCCTAAGGGGAGATGTCTCCTAAAACATGCACCCTGACCCCCTCCCAGTCATTGGAGCAGTGGGAATGGAGCTCAGTCACCCTCTGTGCCCTGGGGAGGAGGCAGGAGAGGGATGCACCCCCCCTGCCCATTGCTCCAGCTGGAACAGTGGGTCCCCATCACTTACTCCACAGGGACACCCCATGCAGGTGAGCAGCACTCACCTGCTTGAAGCCCCGAATCCTCTGCAGCTCCTGGTGCAGTCTGGCTGCCAGAGCACGAGATGCCTCCATGGCCTGCAGAGCTGATGGCTCCTGCGCCTCCACTGCCTGCTCCAGCGCCGCTGTGTCCTGTACCAGCTCTCCAGCCTGCACCAGCAGCGTCTGCTGTGGGGTCAGGGATGTCAGTGCTCCATAACAGCAACCTCCCAGCGCGGGAGGCAGCACTGCCCCATGGGATGGGGATGCAAGCAGGAGCCCCAGTGTGGATGCTGTTCACCTGCCCCAGTGCAGACACCTGCAGAAGTTGCTCGGCCATGTCTGCATTCGCCTGCTGCACGGCTGTTAAAGCTCTCCTGGCCTCCGCTGCCACCTCAGCCACACTAGCACCCAGCTCATCCCGTGCCCGCTGGATTTCCTCATACCTACGTGCACAGGAAGCCACTGTCACCCAGGGACAGAAAGGATGGAGATGACCGCTGACACCTGGCCCCAGTCATGGATGCAGTAGGACATGCTGTGGGCAGCACCCCCAGCACGGTCTGGCTCTCTGTGGCATGCTGTAGGGACATGCTGTGGCAGCACCCCCACCTTGGCTCTCTGCTTTGCAGCACTGCAGTGCATTGAGTTGGATGGGACTTAGCACATCCCTGTCAGGCAGATGCTAAATCACTGTTACCAAGTCTTGTAACAGGGACCTGGCCAGGGGCAAGAAGCTGTGGTGCCCTCCAGGCTCCTTTGCTGCCAGTTCCTCACCCGGCCTCCAGCTCACGCTGCACATCCTGCGTCCCATTCCCCTCCATCAGGCTCCGCAGGAGCTCGGAGCTGGCGTTGGAGGCGCGCAGCGCTCTCCCGACCACTGCCTCCACATGCACCAAGGCATCCTCATGGCTGCAAGGGCAGGGAAACACGAAGGGGTGATGCTAGGATCCTGCACCCCAAGCCGAGAAGGCAGCCTCCCCTTCCTGTGTGTGCTGATTACCTTATGGCCAGTGCCCGTGCCTCCAGCGCCCGGCGGCTCCAGTTTGTGAGCTGCTGAGGGATTTCCTGGGGAATCTCCTTGAATCCCAAACAGCAGCAGTGAGACCCCAGCGAGGAGCAGGGACCCCCAAATGCCACCAGCCCAGCACCGATGCGAACCTCCCAAAGGACTGGAGGAGGTTGGCAAGCAAGGTAGATAGCTCCTCCTGACCCAGCTGTGAGGAGGGCTGTACCCACATGGACCCCAGGCTTCCCGCTGCAGTGCTGGTCACATCCCACCCACCGGTCCTGCGCATCCCACTGCCCCCCAGGATGGACACCAGCCCCCCCGGACCCGCACCGTGGTAGCCAGGGTGTCTGCAGCGTGCAGGATCTCCCGTTGTGCCGACTGCAGCGCGGCTCTGATCTCTGACAGCAGGGTGCAGGTCTTGGGGTGTCCGTGGCTGGAGCAGCCACCAGCCTGGCTGGCGTTGCTGAGACGGCCCTGTGCGGTGCCCAGCGCCCCTGCCAGCCACCCTACCTGTGCCAAGAGGATGGCCCGGGCACCTGCAGGCAGCACAGGTGGCTGCTTGATGCCCATGGATGTGTTCAGGGCTCCCTGATGCTGCCCCAAGCCCAAGACCCTTCCCACTGCCTGCTAATGAAAGAGGAAAGCAACTCGCTCCCAGATGCTCAGGAGGGACCATGGGATGCAGCACCCAAAGGGTGCTCCATGTGCGAAGCTCAGCCCCCAGTAATGCCCATCACTGGCTGTTCAAAACCTCACTGATGCAAGCATCCCTGCAGTGCTCTGCCCTACACAACAAGGCATGGCCCCTCTCTCAGTCACCCCATCACCCATGTTAATCCCAGCACTGACCTGGGACCTCCTTGCACCCACCACCATGCCACAGCACTCTGGGAGAGCAGAGGGTCCCCAAAGGGTGATGTGGGGAGCGAACGGGTGTCCCCATACCTTGCAGGAGGTGAGCACTGGGCAGCCCATCTCCCCGGGCTGCATCTCTCATCAGGAGGGACTGGCCCGGGCGGGCATCACAGCCTGTTTGTTGCAGCCATTCCTCCATCTCCTGCAGCCTGGCCTTCAGCTGGTCAGCCTGGAGACAGCAAAGACACGGGGGGACACAGCAGAAGAGTGACGCAGCGCTGGGGCCGGGGTGGTGCACCCACAATGGCAGGACACAAGCAGTACCTCGTCCTTCACCAGCCCATAGCAGGCAGGGCACTGCTGGCAGCGGGAGCTGGGTGGGTCGGGGAAGAAGTTGGCCTGGCACCGGTCACACTTGTAGCCCACGAAGCCGGGGCGGCACAGACACGTGCTGTTCTCATGGCACTGCGGCGTGATGGAGCCCAGAGGAGAGCAGTTGCAGGCTGCAGCGGTGGCAGAAAGGCATCACACCATGCTTGCCAGCTCTGGTTCAGGGCCCATGGTGCAGTGCCCATCCCCGTTACCTCGGCACCCCCTGGCAGAGAAGCCGAAGAAGCCGTGGTGGCACCGGTCACACTGCTTCCCTGTGACACCAGGCTGGCAGGAGCACTGCCCCGTCAGCGCATGGCACTCGCTGTCCTGTGACCCCATCGGGTGGCATTGGCAGCTGGGGGGATGAACGAGTGATGGATGCAAAGAGTAGAGACCAGAGATGGGGATCCACAGCCGCTGCTGACACCTCCCAGCCCCACGTTACCTCTTGCACCCCATGGTGGGCTGCAGGTCGTAGTAGCCGGGCTGGCAGAGCCCACAGGTTCTGCCTGTCACATGTGGGAGGCAGCGGCACTGGCCCGAGCTGGGATCGCAGCCCTCCAGCCCTGGGGCTGAGCCATCAGGGTTGCAAGCACAAGCTATGGGAGACAAAACACTGCTTATATCATTGCATGGGGCTGACAGATGGGACAGTGGGAATGGGGCGCCAGGGCTGAGCCCCATAAACATGCAGGGCCATATCCCCCTATCAAACAGGGCTTTGAGTGGATGGAGTATCTCCAGGGAAGGATGGCAGTGGAGGAAGGGGCCAAAGACCATTTCTAGGCATCTGGGACCAACCCTCAGCCCCTAAACCTGTGAGGCATCCCCTTTTCACCCTCTGCCTCCACTGCTGGGAGGATTCTGGCTGCAGTGGGACCCATGGCAGCAGGAGCAGCCCTCAGGACCATACATACGTGCGCACTTCCCAGCAGGATTCACAGCCAGCGCATCCCCATAGAAGCCCTGCTGACACCTCTCGCAGTGCTCGCCCGTTGTGTTGTGCAGGCAGCGCAGGCACCGGCCGGACACAGGGTCGCAGTTGCCCACGGCGTTAGGATCCACATTCCCATGACACTGGCAGGGGACACAGGGATGCGCAGGGCCCCTCTGCCCCAGAGGGTCCCCGAAAAATCCATCATCACAGAGCTCACAGCGTTTCCCTGGGGAAGGCGAAAAGGTGGGAAGGATCCGACCATGCCAGCGCTGCCCAGTGCCCCCCCTTGCTCACCCGTTCCCAGCCTCACCTCTCTGTCCTGGTGGGCAATGGGTGCAGACAACCTCCCCTGTGCTGGGCACCTCAGTGCAGGGCGAGCTGCCGGGGCAGGGGCATGGTTTGCAGTCATCAAAACGCCCTGTGAAGGGGTTGCCATAAAACCCGGGGCTGCAGCGCTCGCAGGAGGGACCTTCTGTGTTGTGTAAGCACTGGCAGTGCCCTGCGAGGAGGAACATGAGGGTCTGCAGAAGCAGCCTTGAATAACAACGGGGACCGCGGGAGGGATGGAGAGCCAGAGAGGGATGCGCAGCTCCAGCCACGGCATCCCACTGGGACTGCACATCCTCAGCCACAACTCGGAATGCTTTCCCTCCCTGTCCTTGCTCAAGGAACAAGGTTTTGGAGAGGACACCAGGGCCACATTGCCAGCCCTGCACTCCCCTGCAGTGCTGGGACGAGGCGGCGCTGGCAGCACTGTCAATGTGCCCGGAGTCTGTCGGCGCCTGCCATAATCCACAACACATTTCCCAGCAGCAGCGAGGCGTGTGATCTCCAGCCTGTCATGGAACACGGGAGCAGCCAGCCAGCACCCACTGGGAGCCAGCCGGTGCGTCATGGCCTTCCAAAATCAGCTGGGAGGAGGAGGAGGAGGAAGGATGCCCCCACCTCCAGGCAGATGCTCGGCTTGACTGGAGGAAGGAGCCAGGGGGAGGATTTTCCCCCGCCGATCTGTGGGGTCAGGTCATACCAGATGGGTTGCGCAGGAGGGGATTGGGTGTGCTTCCGTTTTCCCCATATCCAGGCAGAGCAGGACGATAGAAAGGAAAGGAAAAGTGGGTGGCAGGAGAAATAAAACCAAAGGAAGCACGCGGGATGGCAGCGCCCGGGCCAGGACAGCAAAAGCCTGGCTGCATCCCTTGGGATTATGCAGTCGGTGGCACCGACCCCATCTCTGCAGGACAAGGGGTGAGTTTGCAGAGCTGCTGCTCACAAGGGCAGGGGCACTTTACTGAGCACAAAATCACTGCCAGCCCTTCCCATCCCAGCCATACATTGTTGTAGCTCCTCGCCCAGAGGAGGCAGCCAGCGAGGAGCCCCAGGGGCTCCGTCTGGGTACCAAATGCATCGTCTTATTCCCAGCACTGATCAGAGCTGCTGCTTTCCGCAGGGGTGGATGGCAGCATCTCATGAACCCCTCATGGCTCTGATCTGTTGGGGCTCACAGCCCTGAGGCTGGTGCTGGATTCATGCAGCCAGCTCAATCTCCAAGGCAGCAGTCTGCAGTCCTGCCCCCTTTCCCCAGCCAAAGCCATCCAGACACTTTGCAGGGAGGGGAGGGGAGAGCCAGCACCCCACAAACCACCTCAAACACAGTCACGCTGCCCTGAAGACTTTGCTTTTTCCTCCCTTCAAGCCACAGTCCCTCCTGCAGTCACGCACCTCTGAGCTGGGTCTGGAAGCAGAACAGGGCTTGGGCAGGCAGCATGAGAGCCGGATGCTCTGGGAACTTCCAGCAAGCCTGGCACTGCTCTGTTTTCCTGCTCTTTTCCTTGTTTCTCTGCTCCGGTTTCTGTCCAGTTTGTGGGTGTAAGGGCTGTGCCAAGTCCTGGTCTGCTCACTGGGCAGCAGTGCTGGCTGTGAGACCCATCCTGCATCCCTGCCTGCCTACTCCTTTGAGGACCAGCACCTCTCCTTCCTCATCCTCAAAGTTCATAAAGTACCCTGAAAGATACCCCCTTATAAATTCCCACTGTTATTGCTCTTCATTAATTATCTCTCTTTGCAGTTCCAAATCCAGTCCTTACAACCAGTTCAACTTACAGCTTTTGGGTACCGCAACCTCCCGGATGGTTTCCAGCATCCCTCAGAAACAAGCAAGGACAGGATCTGCCACCCATGCACACAGCACGGGGGGAATGGGGAGCCCGGGGGTGCACACCTGAGAGGGGGTGACAATCCCCATGCTGGTTGCAGGCGCAGGGCACGCAGCTGACGAAGGGGCCACCGAAGGGGATCTCGCGCTTGAAGCCGGGTGCGCAGGACTGGCAGAACTGCCCGGTGTATCCCGTGGGACACGAGCACTCCTCCACCCAGCCTGCCCCTGCTCCTGGCCCGGGGCGGGCGGATGTGAGCTGGACCTCGCTCAGGGACAGCCTGCCTGTGGGAGCAGAGAGCAGCATGATGGGGTGGCACAGCCCTTGGCTCTGCTCTCTCCATCCTGCCTGGAAACGCTCCACACAGGCACAGGAGACCCCAAAATACCCCTTGCTATTGGTATTGGTATTTATACCCGCTCATCCCTGGGAGCCTGATGCTGCTGGGATGTTCCCTGCCCTTTCCCAGCTTGGTCCCCAAGGGGATGAGTCTCGGAGGCACTCACCTTGCCCAGGGCCGTGGCTCACACGAAGGTAGAGAGCAGTCAGGTTGGAGAGCAGGCGCTGGAAGCTGAAGGCTGACAACGAAGGCTCCACACCCTCCTCTGCCTCATGCAGCCTGTTGGAGAAGGAGCAAGGGAGGAAGGAGGGGGCCAGCCTGACAACCATGTGCTGCAGGACAGCTCGGCTCCCGAATGGGACGCAGGCACAGCAAGGGGGCACAGTTAAATCCCTGAGGGATGCAGGGAGCACAGCCCAGGCAAGGTCAGACACGTTGTGTTCCAAACCCAGCCGAGGTGCCCCAAAGCACCGTGTGGGTACCTGAAGGTGACAGCCTGCTTTCCATGCTGGGGATGGCTCTCGCTGCTGGGCATGGTGATCTCCAGCCCCTCGCCCTCCAGCACCAGCTGGACCTGGAGCAGGGGCATCCCAGTCTCTATCACCGTCCCCTCCACTCCCAGCTGCAGGGACAGGAGCTGCCCATAACTGAGGCGCTGGTTCTGCAGGAACTTCTCTGCAAGGGAAGAGAGGAGCAAAGGCTGTAGGACATGGAGGGACCAGCTCTGATGGGGCATCACCAAGAGCAATGGTCACCCTGAGGGTGCAGGGCCAGCCCCAACCTGCTCTCCCAGCGTCTTCATCCACTACTCCAATCCCTCCCCATTGGCCTTGTGTTACTGAGACATGCTCAGCTCTGGGATGGAGCCCAGCACCTCACACATCAGTGTAGCAATGACAGAGCAGGACCCCAGGGACCCATCGCACACAATACCTGGTGCAAGGAAATCCACGGGCTCCTCTCCATCCCACTCAGTGATGATCTCCCCATCAGCCCAGTGCAGTGGCAGGTCTGTGGTACCCGGAGCTGCAGCAGTCCAGCCCTCTGGCCCTGTGTGACAGCACACAGCATTGCACAGGCAAAGGGAATGGTGAGTCCCCACCAGCCCAGCACCGGGACAGGGGTGCTCTCCCCTTCCTCCCAAGCCTCTCCAGGGTCTTGGAAGGGGACAGCACTTTGTAACACCCTGCTGTGTTTGGGCTCCATGCTCCCACGCGCTGGAGAGCGGCCCTTATCCATCCCCCATCTGTTTATTTTCTTAGGTTTGGAGGAAATTACTATCTTTAAACTTTTGCCCCCCCTGTCTGTGCTGCGGCTCCAATGTTACTGTGGGCTGGAGAGTGCAGGAAGCCCAGGAGAGACGGGTGTAATTGCATTAAGTTGGTTTCCTTCAGAAACCAGTTAAACTCCCCAGCCCCAGGCTGAACACTTGGAAATCCCTTCCAGGCTGCACTCTGCTATCAAATCACCCCGAATATGGACCCTTTCACCCGGGACAGGAAACTTCCATCTGATCCAGCTCAGCTGCGGGATGGGGAATGCTTTGGGGAGTGGCCATGCTGAGCCTTTTGCATCCCATCCCCAGGGCTCTGCCAAACCTGTCCCTAAAAGAGCAGCCCCAAACTGGCTGCATGAAGGGTGGAAAAAAGACTCAGTTTAGAGCCTGGCTCTGTTTCAAGGCCGTGGAAGACATTACAGCAATTGGCAGAGTGGTTTAAAGGCAATCAGGATAAACCAGCGCCTGGCGTGTTCACATCCATCTGCTTGCTGGCGCGCACATCCCGTCGGGATGCAGGCAAGGAAGGGTGCCCAGGGGTCCCTGCAAGGGGACCATGGTGCCTGCAGCCAGTGCTGCACACAGCAGATGGCAGGGTTTCCCTGAGCATCCTGAATGCTTCCAGCCTTGCCATGCATAGCCATGGATGCAGCAGGGTGAGAGCATCCCATCCTGCTCCCCCAACTCCCATCATCCCTGCCCTATCCCAGCCAATGACGGGGAGAGGAGCAAATAAGGGGGAAATTCCCACTAGGCTCCATCCTTTCAGTTTTTATCTTTCTGAGCTGGTTTTTAGTGCTCCAGGAGTTCCTGGTGTGGTGGGATGGCTGTGCCTGGCCCCACAGCCTGCCCTGAGCCTTGCAGAGGCCTGCGAGCACATCAGCTTGTAGGGATGCCATGGGAATAGCGCATCCCCATGGAGCTGGAGGCAAAAGCTGAGGTTTAACAACAAAAGAGGGACAATCAGAGAACCCCCCTCCAAACATCACCACCAGTTATCCCCAAAGGGGGATGCTCAGCCCCAGCCTTCCCAAACTGCTGGAGTTTTGGGGCTGGAGCTGGCACAGCGGTGCCCTCCAGTTCACCCAGGGCTGGGGCTGGTACCTTGGCTGAAGTCAGAGCGGATTTGAGCCACCTCGTAGCCGTCTGCTGCTGTGCAGGCAGTGGAGTGGCCGTAGCAGAAGCAGCTGGTGCAGCCAGCAGCATTATGGGGCTGCAGGTTGAACCAGCCCGGCTGGCACCTGTGCATGGGGAGGAAACAGGAGCCTGTGGCACAGGGGACTACAGCAGCATCCCATTGGGAGGACTGGAGACAGCTCCAAGTGAGCCCAATCCCAGTGATCCAGAGGACCTTGGTAGGGCCTCTGCAGGGAGTGACCCTGCAGGATTCCCTCCCCAAAGCCTTTCAAAGGGGCTGTGTAGGGGATTGGAAGCAGCAATGTCCATGGGAGGGAAGACGCCTGCTCTGCACTGACCACTGGGCCCCACCATTGATCCCAACCTGGAGAGGGGCAGTGGTCCCATCCCCATCCGGGGGTCACAGTGCTTACCTGTTGCACAAGTGCCCCTCCACCCTCTCCTTGCAGGTGCAATGCCCCGTGTTGGGGTCGCAGGAGCCCACGCTTCCCGCTGGGTCACAAGCACAAGGTCTAGAGAGGACAAGATAAAGGCATGATGTGATCCCCAGCCCTGTCCCGCTGCTCCCGCCCGGGGCCGGGCTCCTCCTCACCTGCACCCGCCTTCGCTGAGGCTGTGGTACCCGTCCTTGCAGCGCTCACACTTCCACCCCGTCACATTGGCTTTGCAGAGGCAGGTCCCCAAGCTATCGCACTGCGGCTGCAGGGAGCCTGCGGGGACCCCGGCCAGCCCTGAGGCTCAACCCCAGGGCGATGTGGGGAGCCCCCGGGCAAGGGACAACGCACCCCGAGCATCCCCATCGGCGAGCCCGGGCTGGGGCAGGGGTCTGGGGCCGGAGCCCGGCTGGGTGCGGGTGCGCTCACCCGCGGGGTGGCAGTGGCAGGGCTGGCAGGGTGCCTGCGGCTCCCAGCGGTAGTGGTTGGGCCGGCAGCGCTCGCAGTGCGGCCCGGCCGTGTTGTCGCGGCAGTTGCGGCAGTGTCCCCCGTGCCCGCTCCGTCGGAACAGCTCCCGGTCATAGAAGCACTCGTCCGAGCGGCCGCTGCAGTTGCAAGCTGCAGGGAATGGGGGGGTTGGCACTTGGGGGGCAGAGGGGTTAAAGCAACGTTCTATGGGGTTCAGTGAGCCCAAGGGGCTGCTTGGCTCAGCGGTGGGAGGTTTTGGCAGTGACTCTGCCGTTGGATGGTAGGTGCAGTATCATGCATGGAGCAGATGGCTGCATTCATGGCATAAAGAAATCCCGGGGAATCCCAGGAGGATGCTGTGAAGGGGGCAAATCACAGAATGGTTTGGGTTGGAAGGGACCTTAAAGCTCATCCAGTTCCAATCCCCTGCCACAGGTAGGGACACCTTCCACTGGAGCAGCTTGCTCCAAGCCCCTGTGTCCAACCTGGCCTTGAACACTGCCAGGGATGGATCATTCCTCCCTCCCTGCCCAGAGCAGCCTTATGGGGCGCTTCCAACCCATGCAGCAAGGGCAGGAGCTTCCAGACGTGCTGATGCTGATACAGCACCAGCAAACCCCATTGGGACCAACCACACACAATGCCCACGGAGCCAGGCAGGACATACTCACGCAGACACTCATTGGCAGCCTCGGCGGTGCCGCGGGCCCAGGGCCGGTCCTGATGGAAGGGCTGGCAGAGCTCGCAGTCGGTGCCGGCTGTATGGTGCTGGCACACACACACCAGCCGCCCGGCCTCGTCCGGTGCACACTCACTGGCGTGGCCATTGCATTTGCACCTGCAGCGAGGCCCCGGCACAGGGGTGAGATGCTCTGACACGGTACGGGCAGCAGCCAGCACTGGGGCCATGCCCGGGCTGTGCAGGGAGGCAGGTTGCCCAGAGCCATAGAATGGTTTGGGTTGGAAGGGACCTTCAAAGGTCATCTAGTGCAACCCACTGCAGTGAGCAGGGACACCTTCAACTAGACCAGGTTGCCCAGAACCACATCCAGCCTGGCCTTGAGAAGCAGAAAGCTCCAAAGGAAGCAGTGCAGGTTGTGCTGGCACTGAAGCTGCCCCTTGTGTCCCTGAGGTGCTCCCAGCACAGCCAGCCCTTGGGTCGCACACTGAGGGTGGCCTGTGTGAGATGCTGACCAGCTGGAGCCTTTTGGGGTGAGCTGACAATGATGGGGACTGCTGGCCACTGGGGAGCAGCCATGGCCCTGCCCAGGGCAAGCAGCTTTTACACACAATAGAGAGATTTCTCTCCCCTCCCAGCTGGAGCACAGCCCAAGGGCTGCACCAAGTGGGTGCCACCAGCTTCTTTGTCCCACATCTGCTCCCCCATCCCACCAGCAGCTCCTCAGGCCATGGCCGTGCTCCAAGCTCCTCCACCAGGCTCCAGGGATCTCTCTGCTAGCACCACAGGACCCCTCTTTTACTGCTCCCAGGGACCAAGCAGGGCCACAGTAGTAGTAACACAAGCCCCAGCACCATTAAAAGCCATGGGAGCCATTAAAAGCTGGGAGGGGGCAAAGCAAATACAAATACAGCTGGTTGCAAACGGAGAGAGCTTGAAGGGAAAAAGGGCTCAAGGTTTCATCACTCATCTCCGCACTGCCAGTTTATACATGGAGGAAGCCACACCTGGGCAGTTTGCCCCCAAAACACAACTCAAACGAGACCAGGAAGGTCCCACCACCCCTGCTCTCACCTGCCACCAACAGAGAAGTCGGAGATGGCATAGTAGTACGACTGCAGCACCTTGGGGTCCTTGAAGATGTCATCCCCAAATGTGTTGAGCCGGTTCAAGGAGATGAGCAGGTCAGTGACGGTCACCCACTCCTATAGGAGACATGGGGAAGATGCTTTGGTGTGGACCACCAGCTCCCCAGCCGGGATGCATCCTGCAGCTCTTCTTACAAGGATGCAGGGCATCACAGGCATGAGCGCACTGATCTCCCCTCCCACCCCAGCAGCACCTGCAGCGCGGGGCTGCCATCGAAGTTGTACGCGCTGGGCCGTCCCTCGAGGGTGGAGAAGGCCACGTTGCCCCCACTCAGTGGGGAGATGTCGCTGAACTCATCAGTGCAGAAGGCGACCTGCTCATCCTCCCCCGGGCGCAGGTAGAGCCGCTGCCGCTTCCCGTAGGTCTTCTCACAGGATGCACTATAGTACTGGAAGGGCACCCAGGGCCCCCCGGCGCGGCTGCGCTTGTAGATGGCAAAGCTCTCGGGGCGGCTGGTGTGAAACTTCAGCCTCACGTAGGTGATCTCATAGGCTTTGCCTAGGGACAGACCCGCAATGCAGTCACCATCTCCCGATGGGCATCAGCATCCCAGCACTCCATCCTGCATAGCTGCCAGCATCCCCCTGCACTGACCCCATCTAGCTAAAAGAGGAGAAAACAGCACCCTGCTATTCATCACTGCAGCCCAAACCCCATCCGGATCCATCCAACCAGATGGGTTGCAGGATCAAAGAGCCACTGCAAAACCAGGCTTTAACCAGCTGCCAGAGAGGAAGAGTCAGGCCCAGGGCACTGAGGAGCATCCCCAGGACAGCAGTGCCACAGGGATAGGGAGGTGGGAAGGGTCAAGGCCAGTCCCTTCCCAGAGACCTTCATGCTGGGATCCATGGTGCAAAGAGAGGCACCAATCCCCGGGGCAGCTCTGAAAGTGCTTGAAAGAATTAACAAAAAAGGGGAAAAAGAAAACACCAAAGTGAACATCAGAACCGCTTAATTGCCAGAGATGAAGGACCAGCTCAAAGACTGGATTGCTCCATAACAGCACCGCTTCTGACAGCACTAAACAATTAGCTGCAAGGTTTTGGCTTTATTTGAAAAGATAATGAGTTGGGAATGTTAGAGGGGTTATTCCGGGACTAGGAAAACAAGCCTTTAATTGGGCCCATATGAATACTGTCGCATATGAGCTGCAACTTTGCTGCGGGGGAGCCGAGGCAGCCCAGCTACCAGAGCTGGGAAAAGCAGCTGCCTCCCATCAGGGACATGGGGAGCACCCGGGGGGGAAGCACAGACCCATTCACAGCCCACCAGAGGTGATGAGGACCAGGAAGGGGACACAACTGGATCGTCTCATTACCACCATGCTCTGGGACTTCAACAGTGGGGGTGCCCCTGCCTGCACCCCGCACAGGGGGGATGCCCAGCAAGGGCTGGTTCCCAGACAGCACGGTCCCTGTGGGGATGTCAACCAAAGCAGCGAGGTCAGGGCCATCACCTCCTGGAGCATTTTCCTCTGGGAGAGGAAGGGAGCTCGGCGCTGTATCAACAAACAGCCCCTGCCCCAAGCAGCCCTGCGCAAAGGGGAGGCACCGCAGGGCTGGGGGAGCCCAAGCTCGGTGCCTCCAGCCGGGGTGGAGGAGACTGGCTGCCCTGGGAAGCATCCCGAGGGAGCGCGTGCTTGTCCCAGACCGGAGTTTAAATCAGCCTCATTCTGCTGAGAGAAAAGAATTCCAGACAATAACCCAGGCTGCTTGCCTGCCCTTTGCTGCTCGGGAAGGTGTGACGCATCCCAAAGGCGAGGGTGCAGTGCAGCGGGACAGGGATGCTGGGAGGGTGACAGCACCGGGAGCCCTGATTGCTCTCTTAAGATGTGCTGCCCTCGGGTACTTTGGGTTCCTCCCTGATGTCTGAAGGGTAAATGCAATGGCCACGAGTGCTTGGGATTCGTGATCTGCTCCGAGTTGGATGCTCTGTAACAGCATGGCTGAAACCAGAGAGATTTAAAGGGGGATAGTGTAATTAATGCCAATCAAAGCACGCAGGTACACACAGGTCTTGTGCACCTCGTTTGATATGTTAGTTAATAACCATGCTGCAGAGCCTACAAGACATCTGGCTCGGGAATGGGCAAGATGAGCAGCATGGCAGGGACATGCTCCATGGGTTAAAAAACCCGATTACTCAGTGGAGCTGATGAGCAATGACTCGTCCTGGGCCACATGTGGGAGCTGCAGGGGCCACTTGGGTTTTTCCTCCATAAACCCAGGGAAAGCATTAAGGTAGCAATAAAAGTCTGCAGCTGGGACAAGAACAGGGCCCAGCAGCTATGGGAAAGGTCACAGCAATGCACTGGGCACCAAAATGTCACTTTTCAGCACAGCAAAGTATCTGAGCCATGCAGGAGGAAGGGATGCTCTGGTATCAGTACTCTGAGTGCTCTGGCTCAGGAAGGGACACAGGGACCGGGACTGAGGGTGAGCTCAGTGCAACGTTATGGCCTTGGATGTGTTAATAGGAGGCAGACACAGCAGGGAGGTCACAGGGGCTGGACAAGACTCCGCTGGAAACCCAAGTGTGGGGTCCAACAGGGCTGCAGCTGGGGGAGAACCAGAACAAAGACTGGGAAGCAAACCCCAAGGCTTGGGCAGCTCAGGCTGGGCAAGGGGGTGCTGCACACATCGGTGTGCTGGAGCCTGCACAGATCCATGTGCTGAGCTGGGACTGGTGGCCACAAACTCGCCCAGCAGCGATGGCTTGCTTGGCCTCTCAAGTTCCATTCAGATTGTGTGTGCCCGGGGTCAAACAGGAGTGAATCTGGGGCAATGACAGCCTGTGTTAGATGGGTGAGTGGCCGTCAGATATCCTCCCATGGGGCTGGCAGGAGCAGGCTCCTCCTGCATCACTTCTTATGCCCAGCGGGGAGCCCAGCCCAGGGGACAAGGGCCAGATGTCCATCTGCTCACAGGGGGCTGGGAAAGCAGTGACCTTCACCCAGCCAAGCAGCTCCTATGACACTGCTGGGCAGGCACAGACCCTCCACCATCACCCCAACCCTGGCCGCTGGGTCCCACCAGCACCCACTGTCCCCTTACCGGCTCCAATCACAGCCCCTCCACTACCCCCCTTCGGCATGCAGATGGCAGGAGACTGCAGAGAATGAAGATTTTACAGTGCTGGCCAATAGTCAGGGTAGTTTAGATGGCAGGCAAATGTTAAAAAACCCTCTTTAAAACGCCAGGCATGCCCCATGGGTTTAAGTACCCTCCGAGTGAGCGGCTTGAACAGTATTTGAAATGTAGAGGGTCAGATCCCAGCTGGGAAAACTGGGATTGTGTGTGCAGAGCTCTGGGTCCATGAGGCATACTGGGCATCCTCAGCAATGCGCAAGGCTTGGCCCCACGATGCTCACCCACAGCGGGCAAGGGTCTCTGTGGGGGACCAGGGGTAGGGACCTGCCTGTCCCCCACTATGTAAACTTGCATAATAGATAAAAGCAGCCTTGTGAGAGCAGATACCCCAGGCAGAGGTGGCTGGGAAACAGCAGAGGCTGGCACAGTGCTGGCATCCTCACCCCACAAAGAACCAGAGCATTGCTGATGGATGGGGCAGACCCCCCCATGGGTCCTTTCGGTGATCTCCCCATAGAGGGCATCTCCCTTCTAACACCCCCTAAAAGCCGCGGGGAACATCCTGCCTTTAACCCTGCACCAACAGCAATTGCTATGGGATGCAGGAGCATCCACACCCAGATACCGCTGCACCCACTGCCCATGGAGCACCGCAGGGGCTCCCACCAGCACTTACCCAGATGGAGAGTGATGTTGACAGAGTTGGGGTGCTGGATGCCGAAGGCCATGGACTGGCTTTGCCACCAGGTGCTCTCCTCCTGGCTATGGAAGTCGGTGAGGAAGGAGGCGTTGTGGTGGTGCTGGGGGTCACTGGCATCGCAGCGGTGGCACAGGGCGCTGGCGTGGCGGGCACCCATCTGCAGGCAGTATTCCTCTGGGGGGGAACCACACGTGTTGGTGGCCTGGGCAGCCCGGCCGAAGGCAGCGTTCTCAAAGACAGGCATGCAGCGGCGGGGCTGGCCCCGGGGGTCCCAGCAGGAGGATGAGCCCCCTGCCCTAAGCACCAGCCACAGCAGGGCCACCAGCCAGAGCACGGGATGCTGTGCCATGCTGGGGCTCGCCTGCCCGCACTCTGAGCCTCCTCCGGATGGCATAGCGAGAGCAGGCGGGACAGGATGGGACGGGATGGGATGGGATGGGACAAGTCCCCCTGCCCGGCACCTCCTCTCGCTCCGAGGTCCACCTTGTGGAAGCTGCTGGGAATGTCCGAAGTTCCATGTGTGAATCCAGGCTCTGAGGTCTGGGCTTTCCCTGGTCCCACACGCTGCGGGGCTGGGCAGGATGGGATCCCTCCAGTGGAGATTTGCTCTGGGAATGGGGTGATGGAGCTGAGCTGCTCCATTTCTCAGCCCCAGTGATGAGCTCGCGGTGATACATGCCCCACACCATGGGTTTTCCCTTAGATGGGTGGGAGCCTCCACTTCTGTCACAGCCCCAAAATCAAGAGGAGGGTGAGGGAAAAGCTTTGGAGCAGACCCAGCACCCTCTTCTCACCCCATAAATCACACTGCTCCCTCACTCATACCAACCTGGTGGGTCTGGGACAGCCCCTAACCCTCCACACCAGCACCCATGAATGAGGGCTCCCATCCCTGCCTGCTGCCATGGGGCATCTCCACAGGGTGCCAAAGCCACTTTATCAGCAGCTTCACCGGTAACACTAAGGATGGTCTGTGCCGGAGGGGGGGCCCTCTCAGGACTGTGGCACCCTCCAGATCTGACCCATGGGGTGCAGGAGGGTGACAGCACATGAGGAAAGATGCGGGCTGCACTCTGCAGAAGTGGTGCAAAGGGGAGCACTGCCTTTGGTCCTCAGCCGAGCTGCCCCCAGGAGCCCTGGAAGCTTAACCCTCATGTATAATTGAAGCTCCGTTCCTCCCCTCCCCTTCCCTTCCACTCCTATTTGTTTTATTCCCCTTCTCCGCACACTCTGCGGGGAGAAAGCACCGGAGGGGAGCTGTGAATCAGAGTCTTCGGCAGCGGCTCCCGCAGCAGCGCCGGTTCAAAGCCCCATTACCATATATTGACCCGGGCTCTGACAGCCCGAGCCAGCTCTGCTGGGAAGGGTGAATTTCCCAGCACCGAAGAGCAAACCCGCTGTCAGCCTCCGGGGAGAAAGAGAAGGGTTTTCAGCTCCAGAACTGCCCTGCGCATCTCCGCTGACTGTTTTAAGGGGATGTGCATGCTGCAGGGGTGAGGTTTTCCACGTGTTTTGCTTTTTGCCTTGTTCCTGGGGCTGCAAGCTGTGGGCAGGAGAGGGTCTCCCATGCAATGGGTTTCACACCTTCCCCTCAGGGTGTTACACACACCCAGGAGATTATTTCCCTGCCCAACCCATCCCCACTTGCATTAGAGAGTAATGAGGCCATGCAGCCAGGGTGCAGTGACTGCTCATGGGATGCACAATGGATTTGAACAGAACTGATGGGTACCCCCATCCCATCTCCTCCTCCAGCACAGCCCATGGGGCCAGAGCTTGATGGAGATCTGGGTGACACTACATGGAGAAAAACCTATCCCATCTAATGTCACTGCACAAGAGAAGGGCAAGAGTAGCCCCAAATAATCCCCCTTTCTCTGAGAATGAGATGCTGGACACGTCTTTCCCATGTTGTGATGCCTACCAGGTCTGGACAGTGGCTTCTCACAGCAAAACCTTCACCCACAGATACATCACCTTGCCGTGGGTGAGCTTCATCCCTGGACAGGAAGAAGAGCTAAAGCTGGTTATGGGATGCCCCTTGTCTGCCATGGACAAGCTTGAACAAGGGTGTCCATAAGAGAAAACAGAGCTGAGATTTGCCCCCAGCCCCACCTCAGCTGAAGTCCTCTGTACCTGGGGACACGTCACCCACCGCCCCAGGGCTTTGGTCCAAGTGCAGTAGAGGCATGGTGACCAAGGCTGTGGTGACAGCCCAACCTGCCATCACAGCCCAGGAACCTCCTGCCCCAGCAGGGACCTGGCACCCAGCAAGGGTTAAGAGCTGTGGAGGCGGCGAGGAGAAAATGTTCTTCTGATTTGCTTAATGAACGTTAATTAAGAAGACAGAAGATAGCAGATTCCTTCAGGGCAGAGATGAAAGGCCCGTTAATTAAATCTGGAGAGAGAGTGCAGGGCCGACTGATGCTCCTCCTGATCAGACCTGACAAGGCAGGCACGGGGCAGGAGCGAGGTGTGCAGAGCCACAGCTCCTGTATCCCGCAGCCCAGCTCAAAGCTGGCAGCACAGCCAGCTTTAGACAGGGTGCTTTGGTGTGGGGCTGAGGCTGAGGGTGACCCCATCCCATGCGGTGAGAGCTGGATGGGTACCCCTGACCCCAGCTGCATCCCAGGCCAGTACTGCCAGATGGGCACACGCGTGTTTTCCAGCAGGGATGAGCTGCCCTTGCTGCAGCGCTGGGTAGGACAAGGGCAGCTCCATCCTGAGGACGAGGTTTGGTCATGCAGCTTTTCCCCAGGTCTCACCAACAGAGCTCATGAGCTGAGCATGGGTTAAACGGCAATGGGTCAGAAAGGCACCAGGTATCACTTTGTGCTGGTGCATCTCCGTGCCTGCTGCACCCTGCCAGGATGGACCCTCCTCCACACTCCCCATCCCTGGGTTTCAGCACACATGCTGCATCACCTTCCTGGAGCAGGCAGCTCCTGCCACCAGCAAATTGCCAAAAGGGGCTTTTCTGCCCATAACTGAGCCCCTGGGAGGCTGTTGCACACTAAAACAGGATTCTGCAAGCAGCATCTGCCTCTGCACCCGTGCGCCAAACCAGCTTTTACACAGGGCTTATTTTTAAGAGCAGAGCATCTGAGCATCCCAATTATCCCCCAAAACAACAGCAGCCCATCCATCCTGCCTGCCTGCCTGCCTGGCCCTTCTGGGGTAGCAGCCCCGACTGCTCCATCTTTCCCACTCCATCCCTCGCCCTGGGACTGGAGTGGGGATTAGAGCCAGGTTCAGCTGCATGATGCCACAGTCATTTCAATCGGCACAGCCACAGCACTTTACTGCTTCCCCAGCACACAGAGGTATGTGAGGAGCAGGGATCTCCAGCACCGAGGGCTTTGCAGCAGGGTGATGAAGTGGCAGGGAATGGCTTTAGCCTGACAGAGGGGTGATTTAGATTAGATACAAGGAAGAAGCTCTTCCCTGTGAGGGTGCTGAGGCGCTGGCACAGGGTGCCCAGAGAAGCTGTGGCTGCCCCATCCCTGGCAGTGCTCAAGGCCAGGTTGGGCACAGGGGCTTGGAGCAAGCTGCTCCAGTGGAAGGGGTCCCTGCCCGTGGCAGGGGTTGGAGCTGGATGAGCTTTAAGCTCCCTTCCAACACAAACCATTCTATGATGCTATGAAGAGCAGCAGCCCCATGGGCAAAGGAGACCAGCCCAGGAGAGCACATCTGGAAGCCCCCCTCAGTTCTGCTCCCACATGATGAAGATCCCCTGGAGTGGGAAACGGCACATGCAGTGTAAATAACATCTGCAGCGTCTCTTCCACGCACTGGCTTATTTTGTAAACCTGAACTTTGCAAAATGTCACGAAACAGAGAAATGGAAGGCCTGGGATGAGTAAATCTCTGTTAGAAAATCCCCAGGACACCAGCAGTCGTGTTCTCACTCCGTGATGGCACATTACAGCCCAGCCCTGGCTCACAGAGCGGGGTCAGGCATGGCACTGATTACAGAGAGTATTTAATTAACACTGCTGTAAATACAGCTCTAGTGATGCCAACCAGACTGCGATGGGCAGGATGCTGCTGAGCTGCGGGGTGTTTTGCCAAGGTAGGCAGGAGAAGAGGAGGGAAGGCAGGGAAAATCCAGCGGATTTTGCTCCCAGCCTTTGAGGGCTTCAGGGAGGACAAGAGGAGAACAAGGCAGGGACATTGTCCTTCAAGAGGTCATCCCCTTGAACATGAAAGCATCACCAGCAGCACCCAGACAAGTGGGGTAGCCCCATAGCTGGGAAACCAGCTCTGTGGGGGGCAAGATGCTCCCAAAGCAATTGCCAGGACAGGCATCACCATCCCCTCCCCTGATGCACAAATAGTGTGGAAGCCACCTTTTCAGAGCCAATTATCCCAAATTTCCTCACACCTGGCAGGCAGTGAAAACAGGGACATCCCAGCTTCAGTCATGCATGACCACAAACTCACCATCTCACTGGGGAAGGACGCCAGATCTGACCTGGACTAAGAGCGGGATGACAACTGAGCTGTCATTGTCCCCAGGATTCATGCTTCACCCATCTCACTGGGGCTCAGGAGGTTGGGGACCAGTACAGGAGGAAGAGATGGGTCAGCACAGGACCAGTGGGTTTCAGGCACAGCCAAAAAGGCCCTTTCCCTGCTCAAGCTCATCAGTAGCTTAATGGTACCTGCTCAAAAGCTTCACAGTCCCTAATCACTCATCATATTACGGCTGTTCACAAGTGAGGCCAACCAGTGCAAACCTCCTCAAAGCCTTTCTAATTATCGAGCAGGAGCTTAGGCTCTACCCAGCCCAAAAGCAGAATCTCAGCTAAAACCAGCAGCCTTGCTGCCAGCCCATGGCCTACCTTGATAAACCCCTTTAATGGGCTTGTTATCATCACCTGAGGCCACCTTATTGGTTAATGAGGTGCATCTGTCTGTCCTCCCCTGCTTCCCTGCTATGGGGAGAAGTCTTTCTGCCTGCCCATCCATCCATCCATCCATCCATCCATCCATCCATCCATCCATCCATCCATCCATCCATCCATCCATCCCACCATGGTAGGAGTGATGGGAGCCAGCCTTCTGGCATGGCTGCCCTGTGCTGGGTCCATGGACTCATCCCCTGGCACCCCATTCACTAGGAGGGTAGGTGACAGCTGAGCAGCAGCAGATGCCACCAGATGGTCACCACA